CTTTCTGAGGAAGGTTTCCCATTTAAAGAAGGGGAAGAGAATAGCTCAGAGGCACTAGAAAATGATGTTTTTGAAGCAGTTGTGTTGGATTATTAGGCCAGCACTGCAAACGTGCAGTTAAAGCTAAGGCTGGAGTGCTCTGGGTGCTCTGGCAATGTCAAAAGTTAGCAAGGAGATGGGGAAAATTCAGGTTAAACCATGGTGAAATTAAAGAAAAAGCAGCTGCTTTGGTGAACTAATAACCAAAAAGAGAAGTATTTCCCTTCCCAGAAAGGGTGACTGTTTTCTTTATTTTAATATCTGCTTTCAAAATGCATATTTAAGCATCAGCTTATTTTCTGATGAATGACTGGAACTCAGGGTGAATTTTTCATGATTCAGCAAAACCTGGAAAAACACTTCAGGGGAGCAACAGCATATTATTGACCTGCAGAGAAAGGGGAAGGAGGCTGGAGACAGGACTTCACAATGTGGTCTGTAAGCCTGATTTAGGGGCTGTGTGAATATGGGGAGCACCGAAGCACAGGGGACAGTGGGAATGTCACCCTCCTGTACCTCCCTGCATCACTCCCCTGTGGGTGCCTGTGGCCCATGGGGCTTTGGAAGCCCTTGCCCCCCCTTGGGCATCACAGCTCCAGGGTGGATGGACCCATGCTGGGGATGGGTAGGAATTGGTGGCCTCGTTTAGTGCTCTTATTAAATGAGGGTAATTGAGTAGGGCTTTCTGGCTATGCCCACCGGGCAGTTTCAGGCACAGTGAGCAGAAGGGAAGGAGCATCCCACTGACATCCCTTTTGAAGTCCCTTTTCCTCCCCTTGGTGCCCTGCTCCTCTGATGCCTAGGGCCTTTCCCCCAGCTGTTCTTCATCTTTTTTTACCTGCTGGGAGGCAAGGGACGGCTGCGGGGCACAGCCACATTCCTGTAGGTTACCCGTGTCACGGCTTTCCAGGCACTTGAGTGAAAAGCCTCAATTAACCAATAACCAGCCAAGCATGGCAGGACCAGAAGCAATAAGTGCTTCTTCTGGCTCCAGGGCCAAAGGCTAAAATCTGCTCAAGGAGCTAAATTAGTCATCTAATTGGGATTTCTTTCCATCCTTATCCAGCTCCTAGTGCTCACAAGAATGAGGTCAGTGACAAATTTCCAGTTCTCCCCACCGCCGCCACCTTTCCTTTACAACCCAATCTAATTAGTGCCGGGAGGCAGAAGAAAGGGCTGTTTCGGGATCTAAGGGCAAGGGTGGAATCCAGTCATGAAGAAATTGGGACAAATAATTCTGGGAAGGTCTTCTCATCCAAACTGCTGGTCTCGTAAATTTGACTGAATTGCACCGATTTACATCAAGGAAAGGATGAGGTCTTCTCATCCTGCTCTAGGCCGGGAGATAGTGGAATAGGAATAGGAATCGATTTTTATTTTTTATTTTTTAACAAACTGTATGTATCTATATAATAATTCTGGGAAGGTCAGAGAGCATCTTCATACTGGGGAGGATGTTTTGCTCCGGACCCAACAGGGCAGTGGGCTGTCCTCAGCAGGACGAGGCTGTATGGCCCTGACCCGTGCAGCAGGTAACCAGGGTGAGAGGATGCAGGGAGCCAGAGCTAACAGCTCCCATCCCTGGGGGGCACACAAAATCCTGCAGTGTAGGATGGGCAGTGACCCTCAGAGGTCACCCAGCACATTTCCCTTGCCCCAAGGTAAAATCAGTGATAACTGAGCCATTCCTGATTAATTCTTCTCTGAAATGTCACGAATGCAGCTTGTGGGGTGGGCACATCGGATTCCGGACAGGCAGAGCATCCCTTATTTTTTAATGTTGAAAGTGCATCGAAAGGAGTTAAACTCATGCAGAGTTTTTTAAAATAGCCTTTGGCATAGTCAGGTTTTAGGAAAAGTGACTGCTGTATCTCTGCATGAGCTGATCAGAAATAATATCATCATCCTTGCCAATTATTATTATTTTTTAAAAAATAGTTTTAACATTTCTTTTGGATTTTTAGCAATCAAAATATGTTGCCCAAAAGCTGAGAGGATTGAACAAATTTGGAAAAAAAAACTAAATCCAAGGTATTTTCTAGGAAACGAAAGATGTAATGAAAACACTGCTGAAATCAAAAACCTAACTTTCCATTTAAAGAATAAATTGATGGGTCAGGCTGGAAATAGCAATTCCCTCCTTGCTATGCAAAAAAAATATAATATCTTTCAACTCTAAAAGCATTTAAAATTCTATATTTATGCATAGGGAATTATAAATAAATATGAAAATTAAAGGCAGAGTCTCAGGGAGCAGTGGAAGTGCAATGCCTTTTTTTGTGTGAAATTGCAGTAATTCTGGGAGTAAAACAGGAGCTGAACAGTGAAGATGGGGGAGTTTTTCCCAGTTCAGGCAATGAATTGCTAGAAAAGTGTTGTCATTTCCCTGCCCTGTAGCTCTGTGTGAGTTTGGCAGGATCAGGGCAGAGAGAGCAGGAGCCCAAGTGCCAGGCGCTGGGTCTGGGGACCTGTCCCCATCCCTGACCCCGTGTGGCAAACGCCACCTCCCTCCAACACCACAAATATCAGCTTTTGCTGCACCATGCGTGGTGGATTTCAAATTCCCCTGTCAGGCTGATAATAGGAATAACAGATAATACTCCATGGACAGGCGAAGGAGAGGGCCTAGGCCCGAGGGCCTTCACAGAGATCGGTCACCCGCGATGCTCCGCTTTGGGACATCAGAAACTGATGGCAGCCAGGGCTCTGCCGTGCCTTTTGCTCTCCTCAGCAAAGGGGGGTGCAAAAGGAGCTTCTGTGTCCCCCCATGATCAGCCTGGGCAGTGTGTGGACCCCAGACTCTGTCCCCATGTCCCCAAGGACCGAGCAGGGCCGGCGCCACGGCCACACGCTACCGGCCTTCCCCACAAGCAGGGTTTCTGAAGGGGGGCTTTCTTGGTATTATTATTTTGTGGTCAAAAGGTTGCACACGCTATTTTTTTCTGATGCAGAGGCTTAGAAAGAGTGGAAAGCAAAATATTTTGATAATTATTCAGGCCAGCGGGTTACATAAAAGGTTCCATAGCCCTCTGCATCAAACCTTAACAGTTCAAACCACAAATTCTGTTTTTGCAGCCATAAAACATTCAGGGGAAAAAAAAAAAGAAAAAAAAAAAAAAAGATATATAAAATAAAATAAAATAAAATAATAAAATCCATTTTCCATTCGCTTGAAACTTATAAAATTTTATGTGGTGAAAAATGACAGTTTATTCCCAGAAGGAAACTGCCCAGAGAGGCTTGTTTCATAGGTGCAGTGGGATCACGAAATAGGCCTGGGCTTGTGTCCCTGGTGCCATAAAGAAGATGTCACGGGGTGGCAAGGGAACGCTGCAGCAGCGTGGCTGGCACTGGTGCAGGGATGGAGGGAGGCTCCCTGGGGGATGCGTGTCCCGGGGCATGCTTGGTGCTCGTCGGTCTGATAAGATGACCCAGCAGGCTAAAAGCAACAGGGTGAAGTCCTGTAGTGGATCACGGAGACTACCGTGCTGCACTTCCCAGGTTGAAGATTCCTCCACGCGAGAGGGAAAAGCTCAGAGCAGTTGTGAGACTGAGGGTATTGCACCACTCATCCAAACTGGGGTGAGCACCAGGGCTTGGAAGGAGGTTTGGGATTATGTGTGGTGACCCACAGCCCACCTCAGACTCATCCCCATCTCTGTTATCTGTCACTGCTGTCTCGCAGGGCTGCCGCTAGCTCACCCCACCACCATTTCATTCAGCTCTCACAACAGTGCCCTCCGTGGAGTCATTGAGGTTTTCCTGGGCTTTGCTGGGTTAAGAGAAAGCAGGATCAGCTCACGGCTCGGGATGAGACACTGCAGTGTTGATAGAAAGCGCGGGTACAAGAGCTCACAAGCTCGAGGAATTCAGCCTGAATTCCTGGTTGCACAAAGTCAAGCCTGCGTGGGCTGGCAGTCAAATCTCAAGCACGGAGCAGACGTCCCTCTCCACCCCCAGCCAGCTCCGGGGCTCAGAGCAGTGCAGTGCCAGCTACGAACTAGCAATAGCAAGCTTTTGCCTTTCAGCCACACGTAAAGCAGCTGCCCCAGCTACATGGCATCAAGTGCCCTGAGCAGAGCAGAGCGGAATGGAGCAAAGCAGAGCCCCAGCTTGATGCTGGGCTGAGTGCAGCTCGGGGCACGCACGCTGTGCTCTGCAGTGTGCAGATGTGTCCTTTGGATTCCTGCCCACTGCCACAGCTGAGATGTAGCTTCCATGTTACCTTCACCAAAAAGAAGCCCTAGAGATGTGCCCTGAGATATTCTTTCAGTCACTGGGTATTTTCCAGCTCCATCTGAAGGTGCAGGGACTGGTATGTTCTGAGTTCCCTCTGCTGGGAAGGTTCAGGTGGGCAGTACTGCAACCACACAAGCCTCCAGCAAAGCCAAATGCTATCCCGAGCACCCCAACACTGCAAGAGCTCTAAAAATCACAGAAAACCGCAGGTGCAGTGCATGGGACAGCCTGCAAGGCAGCATCCTGCAGGGCAGATCTGTCCCCTCATACTCCTTTGGGTCCCAGTTGCTGCCAGCATGCCAAGTGCCAACATGCCCCTGAAATCCTAAGAGTGCAGGTGGGAAGCTAAATTCCAGACAACAACGTGTATCATCAGGTTTCTGGATGTTAAACCAACATAAGGATGTGCATACAAAAAGTCCCAGTTATGTAATTACTTTTGCTTTCTAAGGAAAAGATATATTCATGATCACTGACAATAAGAAAGGTGCACTTTCTTTATGAGTTTTCTATGCTGGAACATTAAAAAAGTCATCTCCTGAAAGTACAGGATGAAGAAATATGTTAAAAATTTCCCAATAGTCAGCCACAAAAACACAGACTATTACCAGCTAAAAAACAACATTATTCCCCCTGCGTGTTAGAATTTGACACTTCTGGGTACTGGCAACATTTTTCAGAAAAAAATAAAATAAAATAAAAAATTAAAAAATAGCTGTGCATAAATGAAAAAGTTCTCTTTACTTTTCCTTTTCCATTTGCAGAGGAAAAAACAAAAAAGTCACTTTATGCGTTTTTTACATGGGAAACATTAAAAAGTCATCTAATCTCCTCAGACTTGCACTAATTAATGAGCAAGCATGAGATCTGGGAAAAGGAATAAAACCTGGGCTTTCTGTAGGGCAATTCAGTCGTGACACATTTAAAGCCCCGAGTGCATTTTGCTTTTGATTCTGTAGGATTCGGAATTAACAGCTTGAGAGGAAATCTAGGCAGCCGTGGAACACAGGCCTTCATTTTTTGCAAAAAAGCTTCGGTCTTGGTGGTTTTCTGGGGATGGGGATGCGTTAAACTGCTTCGGGAAGGTCAAGCCCACCGGGTAGAGCCACACCACAATCTGCCTCTGTGGTCCTGTCTGGAATAGCCGGGCCCTCCCGGACCAAGGCTCCCCAACCATCTCACCGAGCCTCTGCAAGGCACTGAGCCTCCAAGGGTTTTGAATAAGAGCTTTGTGCCTAGGAGGTTAACTAGTGGTGTGCCAGCGTGCTTTCCCAGACAAGCGGCCTTCAGCAAGCCCCGTCTGGTGAAAAAGTGGCCAGCGAGCCAGGGGTAGACTCGTCTGTTCTCGTTGCCACCCATCAGGACTCAGGGCTGAGTCCTTTGTGTCCGATTTGGAGCCTGGAGGTGCCCCAGGAGCGTGAGGAGCATCGTGCCCAATGTCCATCCTGCTGCTGCATCACTGCTCCCCTTCCTGAGGGGCCGTGGGTGCTACAGCAGAGATGTCAGTGCTGAGTTCTGCCAAGTCGCTTTGGCTGGCACTGCAGGCACCATGTCACCAGTAAGTGCCCTGCACATGGGCACCGATATCCTCAGAGAGGTTTGAAACGCAATGAGAAGCCACAGAAGCAAGCAGCCCACCTGTGTGGTGCCTCCCAACACCCGAACTGCTGAAAAAATGCACCTTTTGGCACCATCTGGAGCTCTGTACTAGCTAACAGCATCATCCCTGGGCACGTTCATTGCTGTAATCTTACGGAGCAGGCCCATAAGGTGAGAAATTGCATCCAGATTGTTGTCTGCCAGGATGGGATGGCGTTTCCGAGCTAAGCAGAGACAGGCAGAGTTGTTCTCAGAAGCTCTTTGGTGAAGGCCTGAAGTCAGACGGGAACCCAGGAGAACACCTAAGCCATGCACTGAATTGCCTGATTGTGGTTGTGTAGCCTCAGCTGAAGGAGTTATTATTTTCAAGTCTGGTAATAAACAGAATAATAGACAAAAAGCCTAACTCCCTGCATGCAGGCTGAGTCAAGGAGCTGGGCACAGCGGCTCGCTGCAGGATTTGTGGTCTGGGACCTTCTTCCAGGCTGTGAATCAAGGCACAAAGCAGCTCCAGGGCCACTCACGTAGCCGTGAGGACTCACCAAGTCCCCTGGGACCCCCAGCTGTGCCTCTGCAGAGCACACCCCATTGCTCAGCTGCCCCTCAGTGCTCGTCAATAGTATTTCAGATGCACGAGCATCAGGTGGGTTGAGCTCACATGGAGCCCAGCTTGTGTGATGTTAAGGGCTCAGTCTGCCAGAGATTTACATGTGCAATTGCTAAAAATCAGCGGGAATTTTCTAGCATCCATATGGAAGAAAAAGAAAGCAATTTCATTGCAATCAGCAAACGCTTTCCTAGCCAGAAATATCGACCAGAGAACGCTGTCCCCTTGCAGCCCTCAGAGGAGGAGCAGCATCAAGGAGCAATGTTTCTGTGCCCTGCGTGTTTCAGGTGCCCATTTATCTGCATTGTCAGCATCTTTCCCTTTCTATTTCCTCTTCACCCACCCCACATATTTGTTTGTTTCCACACTAAAAGCATTTAGGGTCCTGGCGTTTGCCTCTTTTGAAATATTTTGTTTTCCCCTTGGGAAAATGCATCTGTCTGGTCACCAGCAGTGCTCTGAGATGAGCTCTGCCTTCCCCAGCTCGTCCTCTTCCTCAGGCCCAGTCCCGGGCTGCTTTCAGTTGCCACCCGAAAGGGAGGAGTTTAAGTTAGAAAACTTTGTTTTGTTTCATTTGTTTGTTTAACCTTTTTTTTTTTCCTCCTTTCCTTTTCTTTCCTTTTTTCTTTTTTTTTTTTTTCAAAAAGGAGAGCAAACTTCTTTCTGTGATCAGCTCTATTATATTTATTTTTACATTTATCTCTAACTTCCCTGTGTACTAAATGAGACTGTCAGCCTATCAAACTCTTGACAGCTAATTGAGCCCTACAGATATTACAAAATCTCTCTGCAGATATCAGACTGAAGTTAGATTGAACCTGATATCATGAGAACGCCCAGAAAATCTGCCCCTTCTCATTACCCACAGGAGATTTTTTTTCCATCAGAGGTTACACGGGGTTTAAAATCATCTGCTTCATTATTGATGAGAACTGGGAAAGAAAATTGAATTATTTTAATCTGTGTATTATTTTAAGGCTTTGACAAGCAGTCAAACCACCATGCTAATCCCTAATCCCTGGATAATCATCACCCGACAATTTTAAAATGTGGTCTTTGAGAATTGCAGGAGGAGCCAGGCGAAAAGTAGTCGGAGTGTGCACATCAGAGGCTTTTATTATTACTAGCATTACTAGCATTATTATTATTTAAAGTACACCTCTGGCATGTCTCACAGAAACCTCTTCCCCATCTGCTCTGCATCGGGAGTTTCAGGAAAGAGGTGAAGTCAATCACCCAAGGCAGAACAATGTTGAGGGTGATTTTAATAAAATAAAAATAATTCTTCCTTTTAAAAAAATTGCCCCGTTTGCCACACATTTTAAAGCACAGAAAGTATTGCATAACTCCTAACCACCAAGCAGACTAGGAATACTGTATCCCTTTATTCTCTGAGTTTAATAGTTATAATTAGAACCTTTCCTATACGGTTTCTATATCTACGTGTAATTTAAAAAAAATCCCTCTTGTCTTTCCCAATAAACCGAGGCATTGTTACACAGACTGAAGTGAAACAATTAAAGTGAGAAATGGAGACGGTGGTTTTTGAAGAGGGTTTTATTTTATTTTTTTCTTTTTTGACGTAGAAAAATTCTCCAACTTGAAATGTTCTCACTTAGCATCAATTTTGTCTTCGCAGTCTTGCTGTCCGCACTTGGGGAGCCTCTTGAGGCAGAGGGTGACTACAAAGGAGAGACGGAGCTAGTTAGGGAGAGCAGAACACGTGCAGCACACGGCCAAGCTGGGCAAATTGTCACGTGCAGGGAAGAAAGCAGAGAGATGGCCCCATCATATAAATGCTAGAAAAATAGGAGATGAGTTGCAGGAGAAAGAAAGGAAAAAAATGACTATTTAAAAACAAAACAAATAAGCAACCCCCTTTGGAAATGTATTAAGATTTCGTTTTGTTCCAGCACTGATTTCGGTCTTTGCTGATCTCCTCGGGGAGAAATTTGGTCTCAGCACAGCCGGGCTGCCAGCACGGAGCTGGGGAGGACCACGGCCATAAGCAGCTGTGAGATACGGCAGCAGCAGGCAGGGGGAACACAGCCTGGTGCTACGTCCCCCAAAGAAGGAGCTCCACTGATGGGAGACGTCTGCTTAGCTCTGTTTAAAATACCTTCAGCAGTATCAAGTCTCCTTGGGACGCGGCATCTTACCTTTCTCTCCCTAAAAAGGAAACCTGTCTCTTTGCTTAAAATCACAGAGGATGGTAAAGGAAAAATTTATTTCTTGGACTTCTTCCTAAGCCAGAGAAAGTCCTGTTATTAATGCACGGCCGTGTGCTCTTTCTTTCAGGAGGAATTGCAGTGTAGCCATATGGTTATGCACACTCTCATGTACACATTAATATTTTAGAATTTAATCCTTTTTTTTTTTCATTGCAGCTTATTTTTCTTCTCTCCTGCTCCGTGTGTCAGAAGATGATTGATATGTGTAGAAGTGGGTCTTAAAAACACAAGTCATTGCCTGAGGTTCTTCCTATAATCAAAGCACATGCCCACCCATAGCTAATTAGACATTAGTCTAATGTCAGCTGATTGATTTAGAGCAGTCCTACCACCCACCCAAAGAAGAGCAGACAGCCTTTAACGGTGGGCATTGGGGGCAGAGTGGTACCTGAAGGCGAGGATGTTCTGCCTTTAAAAATTCATAATGTAAAACCTATTTTGCTTATATATGTAAATATACAGTGAGTTTTAAGTCCATTCCAGACAAATCTGGGAGGTTTAAGCTGTTGAAGAAGTTCAGTTTGGTGGCGGTGGCATACGTCGCCATGAGAAAAGCTGAGGTCCTTCCTCGCCCCCAGGCACCAAGGTGAGACCTGGCTCTTTTGCTGATTCTAATCTTGCACTTTGCAGTAAGACTGGAAAAACACATTTGGCTACAATCTAGACACAATTTTTCAAAATCCTTTTCCTTCTTTCTTTTTCTGTATTTTTTTTTCCCTTCTTTTCCCTCCCCTGCAGTCCCCTCCACCCTCCCACCCTGGATTTATGGGTCAGGAACCCTCAACGTTGTCCTGATGGATTAAGCAGAGACAAGTTGTATCGAGTAAATTAAAAATGAAATAGTTACAGCTGTTGGAACAGTCCCGGGGCCAGAGGAGGTAAAAGACTTTCTACCCTCCAGGGGCCTGGAAGTAATCTGTGAAGCACCAAACACTTAAATGAAGACAGCTTGAGTGAGGGCTGACGTCCTGCTGCATGGGGAGCGCAGCCAAAGCCTCGGCTCGAGCCGGGGTTAAGGGAAACCAAGGCAGCAGCTGCCCCCCCAGCCCTGCTAGCCCCAAGCATCCCCAGACCCCTTCCAGCACCCTCGGTCCCATAGCTGAGAGGGGAGAGCCAGGGGAGGGCAATGAAGAGGGTATTTTGAGGCGAGCCACCTCAGGGATTTCCTTTCTGCTATTGTGACTTTATGCCATATGTTATTGAAATCTGTTTTTTGTGTGGTTTTGTTTGTTTGTTTTGTTTTGTTTGGTGGGTATTTTGTTTTAAAGAAGCAACAAGCCAAACAGGGCAGTTCCACCAACAGGGCTCGTACCAGTGATGGGCACCGCGGCACGGGGAAGGCACCGCCACATCCCAGGGGCTGGGTGGGACCGGGACCAGGACCAGTCCAGTTTGCTCAGCTAGCCACCACAGCACAGCCTCTCCCTGTTGATTATAAATCAAACTCAGACAGAAGCATTCATAATTTACCTTTTTTTTGGAATTCAAAGTTGTGCACAATCACCCTTTCTGAGCAAGTAAAAGCTCTCCAGAGCGTGTCACTGCAGCGGGGCGAGCGCTTGTGAGCCTGCCCCAGACACACGCGTTTGTAGCCAAAGTGCTTGGGCCAGTCCGAGTTAATGGAGCAGAGATGTCAGGGAATGAAATGTGGAGCCTTGCTCATCCCAGCTCATCCTCAAACGGCGCCCGGGAGGGCTCTGTCAAGCACACAGCAAGGAACCGCTGCCAGCACCAGCATGGGCGACTCAGACAGGCTGAATGCCTGCCTGCAGACCATGGCCAGGGTGGAGTTTGTCTCCGCAGATGCAAGGAAGAGCTAAAGTCAGCCCACGAGGCAATCTTGCCCTTAGCTCAGCTGCACAGGGGGAAGCAGCGGAGGAGGACGCATCTCCAGCAGCAGAAACTGTGCAACTTCGCATTGCTGGGCTGTAAACCTTTCACTAGCTGGACATAAATCCTTCAGCTTTCTGCTACAGCGCAGCCTCTGCAGCTGCAAATTTATTTGAGCAGAGAATAGGGCCAAAAGAAGTAAATATGAGCAAAGTGACTGATAGTGCTAGAACATTACGCAAGCTCCCACCCAGCTGCAGCAGAAGACGCTTCCCCAGCTAATTCCTCCCGGAGATCCCCCACCAGGAGCTGGAGCCATCCTGCCCGAGATGCTGAGCAAGGGAGGAGGATGTAGGCGACAGTGGGAGAAGGGGTTTGTGGAGTGGGGTCTGCAGAGCTCAGCCCCAAATGGCAATTTGGGATCCAAGGATGCTCGTGTGCATTGGAGAGCTGTAGGCAGGGACCGTGCACCGGTTTAACTCCAATAATCTGCAGAAGCTTCCAAAACGAGCAGCTCATGAACACTGCAGCTGTGACACAGCCACCAGAGCACCAGCAGAGACTTGATCATGGCAGATCCCATCAGCTCGGAGGGTTTGGCCTTAAAGAAGCCTCCAGCAGGCTGAAAACTTGCAGAAAACTGCAAGTCAGGCAGAGCAAAGGCTTGAAAGGTGAAGAGCTCACCATGCAGTGGATGAGTGTTACACCACCTGCACTACCCCAGAACTTTCCCTAATACTCGGCTTGCCCCAAGGGACTTGCAACTGGTGCAAAGGGTGGGGAGCAAGCCCAGGGCACACGTGCCAAGGTGGAAAATCCCAGGGGTGCCCAGGACATGTGGCAGAGAGACAGCCCTTAACCTGTCCTCACTGGGCTCTCTCTCCTTGCTCAGCTGCTGTTGCTTCCCAAACTTGCAGAAAAACCTCGTGGGCCATCTGTTGCCAGAAGGGGCTCTTTTTCCTTTAGTGTTCTCTATTTTTCATATTAAATTTGTGGGGTATCCCTTTAATACAGCCTTCATCTCAAAAGCATCCCACAGAGCAGCGCTGGAGAGAAGGGACTGGCTGATGGGCTGCAGCACTTCGGGAGGGCAGGAGCAGTTCTGTGTTGCTGATGCAAAATGTCAAAGTGCCATGATGTAAGCTGGTGAGGGGGTGATGTTTGGTTTTCTTGTTTCTGTAAAACCCCAGCCCTGAGAGTCATGTGAATCTCAGCTTTCACTTCGAGCCAGGCTGCTTCCAGTGCGCCTTTGTTGCACAGATGCCAGAAACTATGATGTGAAAGGCACCCTAGAGGTTTAAAACTTAAAAAAAGATTACAAAAGATCCTCCATATATTTTCAAGTGAACCTTTATGATTTTCTTTTTGTTGGTGGTGGCATTTCTGTTTTGTTTGTTTGTTTTATTTTTTTATCTTTTTTTTTTTTTTTAAAGACAATGCTGTTTTTCTGGAACAGCAAATCCTTGAAGACCTGTGCTGGTAACACTGATGGTGCTGGATTTGTCAGTTCTGGACCCAGAGAGGCACAAAAGCCTCCCCAGGGACTGCCTGACCCCGTGCAGAGCTGGGTCAGCTCGGGTGCTGGCAGTGAGACAGAGCCATGCCATCTTGTGCCGACTTTGCCTTTATTTCTGCTGCTGTTGCTGCCATTATTACAACTGCTATTGCATTAACACCTAGGTCCCCTGTCACAGAGTGAGACCCCTCTGTGCCAACGCTTATAAAAGTGAAATAAAATGGGGACGACTGGCCCGAGGCATCCACAATGTGCAATTTCACTCACACTTCTTCCTCTCCCTCGTTGTTTCATACTTTTGGAATCCCACAGTTCTCCAGCCATGTGTTATCTTTTAGATCTTTTTTGTTTGGTTCGTTGTTTTTTGTACAGGGACCTTGTCTTTGCTTACATTTTATAATGTAATTTCTTGTTGCTATACTTCAAAGTGGATCTCTCAGCTTGCAAGCACACTGACAGCACAGACAGGCAAACTTTCTCCTTTGGAAAGGACACGTCCCTTGGTTCAGGTCTCTTCTGAGCAGAAAATTGATTAATTTGCATCCAGCAGAGCTACCTTTGGAGCCAGAGATAGTTATCAATGCGTTGTCACTTTTTCAGCAAAATACTGGGAGGACTGGGTCTGCTTTAAATGCTGGGGCACTGAAATAATGCTGGACTTCGAAACAAGCTTTCATGGGTCTACCTTGTTGGGAATTACAGTGCAGAGCATCCCAGTTTGGCTCTGAGCTACTCACAGTCTACACCATCCCCACCACCCCAGGAGCAATGCCCCCAAAGGGGACCGTCCCCATAACGGTGCGGGGTCAGGATCCCCTGGGGAGGACGGGCAGCCCCTCTGGAGCTGCCCCCGCTGGCAGCTGCAGCTCAATGACTTGTTTTTGCCATCGGCCGCCTGGCGATGCCACAGACGTTACTCACGGCTGCATCCTGGAGCCAGACGAGAACATTCATTTCACACCACAAACTTACTTTTTTTCCCCCTCCGATGCTTTCTTTTATCGGGTTTCAATATAATAAACAAAGGAGATGATATTATTTCACTGGCAAAGGCTCCAACTAATGCACAAACAGTTTTCAATACTGGCACACGGAGGGACTTTTTCACCGTATAGTGGCCAGTCAGACCCATATCAGTCCTAATGGCAGAGGAAAATGGAAATTCAGATCTTTCACCTTGAAGAATAGCCGCAATTCATACCCGGCTTGTACTCCCCGCCCCCCCCAACACACTTTTTTTTTTTTTTTTTTTTCCTTTTATTGCCAGCACAGCAAACCAAACTGTCACAGCAGTATCAAAGGGAATTTTCCAGGCTGTTGACATACAGCAAAGGGACAGTCTCGTGTAGCTCGGCACTTAATCATCTCGGGCTGTGGCACGGTGTCTGCAGCAGGGCCCCCGCCTGCTTTCTGTGCAAGCTTTGGTTCTTATAATGACTCTGGGCAAGTTGCTTCACTCCTCTGGGCTTCTGCTTCCCCTTGGATGGTCTGTTTGGATATCAGTTCTTCAGGCTGGAAAGCATGAATCTGAGCCTTTTTCTCGAGTTTTACCAAAGCCGTGTCCAACGGGCTACAGCTAAATTGGTACCAAATTCATTGCAATGAGGGTCAGAGGCATTGGGATCCTGCCCCAGTCGCTGTTGGCTTTCACTACAGGTGCCCTTAACCACGTTGGCTCCTGGACTCCATCAGACCTTTGAACACTCACAAATACAAGGGATATTTAATGCATTTGATAAGTTTCTTTTGTAAAGCTAGCTGTTGTGAATCAGATGATAAGGCATCAGCTGTGGTTAAAGCAGACGAGCACTTTTTTACTTTTGTTTTAGTCATTTTTTGAGCATTCCTTTCTGGAGCTGAAAAGATACCAAAGATGTTAAAGAAAACCTCATTACAAGCATTTTATGAAAGCAGAGATTTTGCAGGCAGTCCCACAGTCTGAGGCCCAGAAGTATCTGCCAGCTTTCATGGCAAGGACAACCAGAATCCCCATCCCACACATTAACTGCAGTCATCAATACCCAAGCAAATACAGAAAGAAAGAAAGAAAAAAGGAAAAAAAAAAAAAAAAAAAAAGCAAAATGGGAAGAATGCATCTGTCTAACTTCCCCAATGCAAATTTCTCTGCCCATAACAAGCCAAGATTCATTTCTGGCCAAATTTCCCGCACTAACGCTAACCACCGACTGATTAAGTGATTTTCCCTGCGATCGTGCTGCAAGTCATTGTCCGAGAAGGGGCTCCCACAAGCCTGCTGGAGACCTGATTCCCTGCTGAACGCTCCAGCCGCTCACTGATCCAACCCACCGTACAACCAGGCAGACCTGTCACCTGCAGCCAGCTCCCCCGTTGGAAAAACACACAATTTTCCAAAGGTAAAGGAGTCTTGGGTTACTAGGAACACAAATCATTATAAGTAAAACTGCATTCCCAATTTATTGTATTTGTTTTATTTATAATTTTATTACTTATTCCACATTTTCCATATTTTCCATGTGCTCCACGTCATTCTTGTCCATTCAGGCCTTTACGTGGAAACTTGGGCTCTTCTCCACTGCCTAATGTGTTGAAGGCTTTATAAACAGTCTTGTTTCATTGTTTGCTCTGCATGTTTCCATCCCAAGAGTTGCGCCTGAAGCTGTGCTTGGTACAAGTCTGACTGCTCTCCGACTGGGGAACTGGGCTAGAAGGGAAGAAAAGCATCTATTAATGCGATAAGCTGGCGAAAATAACGACCAGCAAATTATTCAGCTGGAGCTCTGACAAAGAACAGATTGAGACTCCTCTGATTTGTGGTTGTGGGTTTTTTTATTACTGTTGTTTTGTTTTATTTTTTTTTCTCATTATAGGGTTTTAAGTTGCCAAAGACAGAGATTTTTCCAAACACCACAGGCGAGGCTGAGGACTGGTCAACACGTTGCATGCACACACCCCAATTTCCCACCAAGCCAAAACCAAACTTCACCGAAGGAGGAGGAAACGCCTCGCCATGCCGGTAGGTTCCTTCCCTGCTCTGCACGGCTGAGAAGGTAACATCACGCATTTCTGTGCACAGTTAATTCACTATTTTCCCCTCTCCTAGACGCACAGGCAAGTAGTTTCTTTCCTGCTCACATCTGACCACAATCTGTGAGCAAATCAGGCGTGTTCAGCAATGCTGCTTTTAGCCGCGCTTTCAAGGTTTCGTGTCAGCAGGAACATTGGGTCAATTTGCAAACAGCCTTGGAAAATCTGGTGCAGCGTCTCTAATGCTATTGACAGGGCCTGCTTCCATTTGGCATCGCCAGGCTAACAGTTGTCATTCAGCTCCTGAGCACATTTTACACCAGCTCATCTATTTTTCATCAGTCTTGCACCCTCTGTGCCAACCTTATCAATGCAGGAGAGCGTTCATTCTGATTCACTTCGATCCCGTGCATCCTGAATGTGTGTGCACCCACCCACAACCCTGAATAATCTCTCGGAGAGCAAAAGGATGCTCAGGTCCTGCAAAAAAAAAAAAACTCGTCAAGTTTCTTCTAGATCGTGTGGCCCAGGTGACTTTTCCATACCAGGAGCTCAAAAAAACCCACGGCGCATTTGATGGCAGGGGAGGGGCGGGGAGATTGGATTAAAACATCTGGTGGGGTAATTAGATTCGCTAAAAAGTTTACACTCCAAACTGCCCCTACATAATTGATGGGGCTATTGTGGCGTGTCACTTCCACTTACGGGTGTGCAGCAGCCGCTTTCGCCTCGCTGCGCCCCGCGCTAACCTTCGCGGCTGACCTGCTGCGGCTCCCCTATTAAAGCTGCAATTATGGGGTGACTCTTAATAGCGAGGTCTTGCTTCAGAGTGGGGAAAAATGTTTCTGTAACTCACATGCGACAATTAAAGATAATTTAAAATGTAAGTAATTGCGCTGGGTTTCTGGAAACTACTGTAGAGGTCTTGTCCCAGGCATCTGACATGCACGGTGGTGTATTTTGACAAGTTTTGAGCAGATTTCCATTAAATACCAAGCAGCAGCTCTATTTTCTTTGGAGTCAGTGGTCAGGAAACGGTGATTGTGAAAGGTCAGGTCTGGTAGATTTGGGAGGGGACGGAGGTGTTATTCGTGTTCTGATCCATGGGGATCCAGTTCCAACATAAATCTTTCAGTCGCTTCAATCTTGCTTTCTGCATGGTCTCTGAGCAGGAGAAAAGTAAGGGGTGATCCACAGGAAGGTGCTTCTCTTACTTTACCCCTGCAAGGTGGGACCTACATAATGTCCATCTACTCCTTCAAAACCTGTGGGGTCTGGGTTTAGAGACCTGGTGAACATTAAAACGGATCTCCATCCCATCACAGCCTCGCACCAAACCTCTTAGCTTGCAAAAGCAGATTTGAAATTGCAACTATTCCAAGGCTTCTGCAAGGTCAGCTAAGTGAGAACATCCTGCAGAATTCACGCGGGTGCTTTCGGAGGTTCAGCAGTCCCTGAAGGAGTTTTGCATCACGAAAACAGACTGTCGGATGAGTTTGGATTCTGCCACATGGTCCTAGCGATAATAAGCCATCTGTGTGCACCACGCTGCACATGACCTTTCCTCTCTCAATTTTCTCTCCCTCGCTTTTTTCCCCAAGTCCTCTCTTATTTGACCTACATTTGAGTAACCCAACAACTCCCAGCAGAGCACGCAGAAGAGTTAAATATGCGATCAATTACCAGCATGCAAATGAAGAGTCCATCTCCATCAGAGTGAAAACAAGCATATGAAAACAGGACAGTCACAGAACAGAGAGGGACCCTTCACGAATACAATCACCTCCTGCTACGTTTGATCGATTCAGGCTCCTGTCTCAGCTGAGGAGGCTCTTGCTCCTAAACCATTAGAGGTAGGGCTGTAAAAAACCTTTTGCATCACGAGATGTAGAGAGAAAACTTGTACAACCTTTGAAACTTTCACTTTTATTTCATTTTCTGAATTTATAAATTATGTTCAAAAGTTAGAAATAGATGTCTTCAGCTTGTGCCACTGGATAATAAAATTAAATACGTGCACAGGCAGTTTCATGATCAGGATGTCTGAAGGCTTTACCCTTTGGGTAAGTTTATACAGGACAAAATACATAGAGGAAATTAAAGCTGTGAAAGTCTTGCCCTCATTATCACTTTTGAGTGGCTGACTTTGTGACTGGAATTTGTCAGAGGCATCAGTCATATCATGGCTGCTTACCACAAGAAAAATAAATAGATAAATAAAGCACTGCAGAACTTCATAAAAAATAATGAAAACAGAAAAACAGAAAATGAAATCAAATATTTAAAAAAAAAAAAAAAAAGAAAGAAAGAAATGAACAGATCTCTGAGGCAAATGCAGAGAAATGCAAATTTAAAATGCATGGCCACAAAAAAAAATGCATCAGACCTTAAAATCCTTATTTTTTCTTGACTTAAAAAGACTCCAAATAAGAATAAGAATATGCCTGTGCATGTTCTTTATCTGTCCTGCTCTTTACCTATATTCCAGTGTGGTATTTTTAAGGAGGGACTCAGAAATTACGCTTCAAATGTGCCAAGAGCTGCAGTTATTTGATCGTGACTGAAGCATCACTGGTGCAATGGGCTGGTCCTTATGGATGGGACAAAGCGACAGGAGCTGCTCTGGGGGTTGGTTTTCTTCCCTGAAGAGCCCAGTTTCAGGTCTAACCCAGAACCTCTTCCTTATGATTTAATTGAAAGCCGTCGGAGTGCTCAGACTCAAGGCACGTCACCGCGCAGAGGCCGGGTGCCTGTGACAAATGCCACCGCGTGGCCCCGCGCTGCAAAAAGCATTCCTGGGGCTGTTTCCTGGTGCCTCTCCAGGCCGACAGAGGAGGTTTACATTACCATCACACGGCTGTCTTCAGCCGCGTCTGCGAGCACAGCCCATTTGGAGGCCTTGCCATGTTGGGCTACGCAGGGAGCAGGAGGGGGGGGGGGAATAAGAAGGCCAACAAAACACAGCGAGCTTTTAAGCACCCGCATCTGCATCAGTAATGCGCCCAAACCCAGCCTCCGCTGCCTTGTCCATGCAAAACCCGTGTACGACGCTTGGAGGGCAGCTTTAAAAATGTTTTTGAACACATAACACATAGGAAAATAACACACTGTAGAAACTTGGCAATGAGTTTGTCGCAAGTAGCCAAGTTGGGCATGGAAAAAAAAATTAGACAATAAAAGGTCATTTCTAGCCAAGTTTTAAGTGAGTATACAATACATACCTTTTTTTTTTCTTTTTTTTTTCCCTGCTCCTTGCCTTAGTTATTGGCCAACTTGGCTACAAGCTTATGGAAAACACTGAAATGGAATTATTGTAATTGTGCTTTTTTTTTCCTCTTTTTGACGAAGCAAAAGTTCTTATAAGCAATAATTTAATTATAGCAAAAGCGTAACACAGACACGCTTCTAAGGATGCATCATCAAAAAAAAAAAAAAAACTCTTTTCTACACCATATTTTCAACTAAAACTACTTCGTGTGTGCCAGTGATCTAATACTGCTGCTATTTATGATTTTCTTTAATTATTTATTATAAAGTATGCCATAAAGTGGAAAATTACTGGTGCTGATCACCTTTCCAAGCAGGCTAATTTAGAACCGAGCGCTGTAAGTCAATTAGGATAATAAACCTGCCGGAGCGAAGACGGGGACTTTCTTGGCATTAACGTGTCCCTCCTGCTTCTGGCGTGCAGCCCCGAGGCCAGGACCCACGGCTGCCTCCCGTGGGACGTGTCCCCGCAGCCTCCTTCCTTGCCCCCAGGTAGCTCAGGTGGAGGATTATTGAGAGCGAGCTCCTTGCTGACGTAGGTCACGTATTTGACATCCTGCTCTTTTTCATTCCTTCATGCGTCTTGTGTTTTATTTTAGATCTTTGTAAGGGCAGAGCTTAAAAAATCAATTAAAAGCAAATGCCAGATTTTTCCTCCCTAAGCTGAGCTGGAGGCATCTTCCTGTCCTAAAGGCTGTGGGCTTTTTGCCCAGAGGATCAGAGAGAGTCTCAGAGATTTGACCCAGGAGCATGGGTAACTCCACTGAAAATCAGCCCAGGCATCTGTGTGGAGCAGATACCAGGGAGAAATGCAAGAGCTCTGTAGATCAGAGAGCAGCCGCTGAGCACTGGCATCCTCTGAGGATGCTGCGAGCTGTGCTGGTGCTAGGACAGCTCGTAAGGGGATGTAAGACCAGGTCTGAGAAGCTGACCTAACTGAGAGAGAAAAGGAGCCAAGCATGAGAATAAAGGGGAAAGATAAATCACATTTGACGATGCAAAGAAAAAAAAAAAAAAAAAGAAAAAAAAAAAAAGAGAGAGAGAGAAAAAGAAAGGAGGTGGGAGAAGGAAGGAGGGACACCACGAGCATGAAATCATCAGGAAGTTTGGAAGTTTATAAGCTGCACATTTGGAGCTGTGTTAAATAGGAACAGTGGTTTCCTTTCTGCCACTTATCATCCAAAGGCCATTCATTTGCAAATAGAGTTGATCTTACACTTTCTCATGTTCTCTTGGAAATATCCTTCCAAGTCATCTGACATATTTTTAGTAAGTGAAGGTTTTGCCAGACACATTTACCTCTTGGCTTTTTTTTTTTTTTTAGCTTTTTTTTTGTCTTTTCAAAAATATGAATCTAAAGTTAAAAAAAAATAATAGCCTTTTTCTATTTATGCCACTGGAAAAATGGGAGAAAGCTGTAGCAATGGGAAAAAAATATATATTTTTTTTTCAGTTTGTAGAGACTGATATTTTTAGCAGCAAATATCGATGGCAAAAGTAATTTTGCGAAGAGAGGGATATTTTTCCCCACTAGTATTTCAGAGTAGAGTGCGACAAGTTGCCTCCAAGCCCACTCTGGGTGCAATACACAACCAGCAGGTAAATGGGGCCGAGTTGTGCACTGCTGGGCTCCGAACCCCCATGGGCAGGGGGTGGGCAGCGGGCGGTGGGCGCCTGCAGCCCCTCTGGGCACACTCACCCCGTGCTTTTCCCTCGTGTTGCTCGAGGGCTCGCAGCCCAACGAGCCTCGTCAAGCCCAGGGTGCGTAAGGAGGGTGTGGTGATCGCTAATTACACCCCTTGGGAGGACTTCCATGACCTGACGTATCCAGCAGACGAGGCGGCCATCCCGCCCCGCTGAGACGGCTTCGGTTAGGTGCCACGACTGGTTCGGCACCGCAGGAGGAACGAGGGGGGTGGAAGGGGTAAACAGGGTGAGTAACGCCCGAGTCACGTTGGACACGGTGTGGGATAACTTGATCTGCGACTAAAATCTGTGGGGAGATGGGGCGATGCGGCCACCTGCCCCAAAGGGATGGTCTCTGGTGGCGTGGTGCTGAGGTTTCCCCTTCCTAAATACCTGCAGGTGAGCCGATTGTCAGCAGTGGTTCCAGAACACGGGGGGATTTCCTTGGGGAGACGCAGTGCAATGGGGCTGGGATTGGGTTGCAGCACCCCTCACTGCTCCTGTTGGCTTCAGGATGCGTTTTTTGGGTAAGGGGCTCTGCTTTATTCAGCCTTGGTGCAGTGCGTCTCTTGCACCTTCCCCTATGGCTCACCCATTAGTCATGCTCAGCACAGCCCCCAGGAACCTAAACCGCCCCACGGACATGTGGGCACCACTGGGCTTGTCTCATCCATGGGGAATCTGCCCAGTGCCACGCTGCTAGAAAATCAGGGGTGGGAGCTGGCAGCCTGCAGCCCTCTGCTCGGTGACAGGACCGTGTGTTCCTCCATTGGTGTCTCCAGAAGTGCAATAAAAAATAAAATAAGTGAAATAAAATAAATAGCAAATAGGAAAATTAAATTAATAAAATAAAATAGTAATGTAAGTAAAATTAAATTAATAAAATAAAATAAAACAAAATAACAATATAAAATAAGTAAAATTCAATTCAATTCAATTTAATTTAAAACAAAATTAAATTAAAATAAAATAAAATAAAATAAAATAAAATAATAAAATAAAATAAAATAATAAAATAAAATAAATAAAAAAATAAAATAAAATTAGAAACAATGAGGAAAGGAATATGCCTTTTCTTGCAAAATCCAGAGCTCATCCTACTGCTACGTCACCAGGTCAGTTCCTGGTCTCTGCTATTCCCTTGTCTCTCTTGCTCAGCCTAGCCCGGCCACCACCCACTCGTTGATCCTCTGAGTTGACAGGACACAAAGTCCTGCCCAAGCACGAGACCCTCAGAGGAGCAGCAGGACATCCCACCCAGCCAAGGAATCTGGAGGCTCCCAAGCTTTTATGAGTCAGCCATCACCTCCAGCAGCTTCAGAAGGAAATTGCTTTAGGGCACTGTCGTCACTGTTTGAGAGTATTTGTTGACAGGGAATGTCTGTGCCACTGTTAGAGACCTCAGGCTGGGTTATATCTGAACCCAACATCACCGGTTTTAGCACAGAAACGTTGGCCAGCTGAGCTGAGAAGCGGGGAGCTCAGCATCACCAGGAGCTGGCAGCTGCTTAGAATTTACTGCACGTCTCCATTCACAATCTTCACCAGCAACAAATGCAGCCCGATGGCCTCAGCTTAGTTAAGGACAAAATATATTTACATGGAATCATGTCTACACTACGTCTACAATCTGGTGAAATTACAAAGAAGAAGGTGAAAAAAATACCACTACTGATTTGGACCTAAACCCACTAGCAGGGAACAAGACGCTCAGGCACTTTTGCCAATGAATTACACAACTTTGTGCTGCTGCAGCCACCGAGAGCACATCTGAGCCTAGCTCGTGGTCACAGGGCCTGATGGCATCAGCAGGAGGGTGCTCGTTTATTCCAGACAGGGAAAGGAGGCTCAGGGCTTCCCATGCAGGAATGAGCCTGAGCCATGTGTCACCCAAAAGCTCTCCTCCACTATCTCATTGCAAGGCGTAGAAGCATTTAGGTTGGAAAAGACCTCTGCGATCATCAGCTGTTAGCCTTGCTGCTGAACTGAGCACCTACAAACCAACCTGTGTGCAGACATCACAGCTTTTACTAAAAATTAGGTGTGTGTTAGCAAGGAGCTGGCTGCACCGTTTTCTCCCAGCCTTTGCAGCGTACAAGCTGCTGCCTCCAAATTCCTCCCCCAGAGATGAGCTTGGATTTGGTGTGAGAATAGCAGGATAAAGTCAGAAGGCACGTTCCCTTTTCCTCAGGGCCTCGTGGAGGAGCCAGGGCACCAAAAAGCCCCGAGACGTCCCCAAGGACACCGCGCTCCCCTCCAAGGGCCATTCCCACTCCCCGCCTTGCAGGCAGCCGGCAGCCCCAGCAGCTCCCCGCTCCAGGCTGTTGATTCACCGTGACGGCTCAGGATGTGTAACCTCATCATCCTCCTAGCAGAAAGCTATTTCTGTCTCCCAAACAAACACAGGAGAGGCTTTGGTGAGGCAGGATGAAAAATGGCTTCGTGGCTGCCCTAAAGGAAGCGAACGCAAGGCGGTGGTCGGCGGCGCTCCCCTCCTGGCTGATGGGGCTTTGAACCCAATTTTGTCCAAAATCTGGGGAAAAATAGAGGTGCTTTAAACTCGGGACAACACGCTCACAAAGGCTGGCTGAGATCCTAGTGGAGCCGAAAGCAACTTGAGACCTGGCCAGCCCAAGCAGAGCATTTTGTTGTTGTTTTTTTAAAAATGATACTCATTAAGAGCAGGAGCCGGGCAATGTTCCCCTTCTGCAACTGATAATATTGAAAGAAGGAGATGAGGGGAAAAGAAACCTCGGAAAATAAAACTTATTTGGCACCGCTGATTAAAACCAGTGTGTGTTTCATATTGAAAGGCTGTGTTTGCTCAAGGTTTATTCAGCTCTGGTCTCCTCCATCCACATAAGGTTTGTTTTAATGACCATGGAGTTATTTGAATCTATTAATTTTTTTTTTTTCCTGAAAGTTTCATAATAACAATGCCTGTTTTTTCATATAGCACTCTGCAGCCACGCGTCTGGAAATACATTGCAAATGGGCAATTAGTGTCAGCCCTGTTGTGAAGATGTAGAAACTCGAGCAGAGTCCAAGTGAGACACTCACTAAACAGCAATGCCAAAATCATGCGTTTAGCTCGGTCTTGAAAAGTGGGAGCTAAAGACAAAAAAACATCCTGGAGACACTGGGGACAAATGAAAAGCAGGTTAGACAGGCAAGGGGACAGCAGCAAGGGCAGGCTGAGCCACACGGGTGCTATAACCTAAAGAACAGAAGAAGGGAGAGGACTTTCAGTAATGACAGACCTCAAAGAGGCCACTGCAATCACCCACATCCCAAATCCAGCACTGGGGCATCCCACACCACTGAAGGGCTGGCTGTCACAGGTCACAAGGCTCCTATTTTTTAAGCCCTTGTTTCGTTTTTTCCCCTCCAAGTGTTTTAATAGGAAAATCTGGAAAGGTTAAAGCTCAGAGCAGAGAAGCAGCGAGAGAATATTATTTGAGGCAAATCTCTCACCCTTTACTCAGCCTATGTGGGAGGCAAGAGAAAATGTTATATGTTCCCCCCCCTCCCTCCCTGCCTCTGAACTAGATGGCACATAAAGCCATCCTGGGCCCTGTTTGTGACTGCTTTTGTTAAATAAAGCCCCGATGCAACCCCATAAGGCTTGGGAGGGCTCCCTGCCCCATCACAGGGCGCCCTGTGGGACTTTTATTTGGGGCTTTGAGGTGCCTCTTCTCAGCGCTGATTTTCTCCCGTCTCCCAGCTCACGGGCCACTTTCTCACCTGGTTGCAGTTGTTAGGCCCAGTCAGGATCTGTTCCCAAATCTTTTACTACCGTCAAGGAAAACCCTGTCTTTTAATGACTCTCCCAGCTCACTTTATCTACTTAAACGAATTTTAAATGCATTAAACAATTTCAGTGGCATTAGGAGCAAATCCATGAATTTGGAGGCAGGAGATTTCCAGAGAGGAACAGCATTTCGTCCAAAATACATTTCTGTGTGAAAAAAAAAAAAAAATACAATTTTATTGTTTAAAATAATAGAAAATAAAACCAGAAGAGTTGCAATTTTTAAATCATAAGGCAGGGGTGGGGCACTGGAAAAAAAAGTCCTTCTTTTATTGTTAAGGTGGGAATAAATAAAAGTTATTTTGTGGGTGGGAAGCAGCAGGAAGAAAAATCACTGACTATGTTAAACTCCAGAACAAGGGAAAAAATAACAGTGAAACTGGGGGAAATTTCACCATCAGATCTTTCTGCCTGATATTCAAAACATGAAAACGTAAGGTCCGAAATGGACCTTTGTGAAGTTTTCTCTTCCCTGAGAATTTCCATCCTACCTGCTGGCAGCATTGCTGGCAGCCAGCATCATCTTCCCAATCCACGAGGAAGGAAAATGTCAGAATTGCAGAATTTGAAACCAGTTGGAAATCTGGGGGAACAAAGGCAAGAGGACTCACAGCTCCTGAGACCTCCACAGATCTTTCATCACCAAAAGCTTCCAGCAGGTCTAGGTGGCTCTTGGTTACTGAGAGAAGTTTCTCCTTCCTACAAAATAAATAGAGAAAGATAATTAATCAAGCACAGAGCTCAGGACTGGTTTTGTCCTGGAACCAGCACCACCACCATCATATGGCTTAATGCATTCGTTTATCTATCAGCTCATTTGAGAAGATGACAGTCCAAATTTCCAGCCTCCCTTTCCATTTCCATCTGCAGGCTGCACCTTGGGGCCCCCACACTCAGCCAAGGGTACAACCAGCTACATGCCAAGCCAGCTATTTATCAGGTGGGGAAACTGAGGCACGGATAAGCAAGGTGACCTGCCCAGGGACCCCAAGCCATCACCCAAGCTGAGGTCACTCCTTTAGAAGACAAGTTTCTACTGATATAAAGCCAAGACTTCTTGGAGTGATCACGACTTTCAGTGTTGTCCCTTTTACCAACATACAGATATGAAGGAGATACAAAAGAAACAGAGAGGGGGAAAAAAAGAAGACTCTAAATAGAGCTACAGAGGTGAGGCCAAGGAGAGTCAGAGATGGAGAGGGGAAAAAAAGAAGAAAAGAAAAAAAAAAGGATGAACAAGTAGGAATACAGATGCCATGAAGGAGTGAAGAAAAACTTAGAAGAAAAATACAAAAGAAGCAAAGATACCAAGAAGGAGAGAGATGGTGAATGGCAAGAACAGAGTTAATGAGAGCCAGAAATGCAAGTTGGAGAAATGTTGATTTTATTTAGCATTAATTGCAGGAAAGAGCCTATAAAGTGTGGTAAAAAATTATTAAGTACCACGATGCAATGCCAGCTTTATGCCAGCCATCCCTATGAAGCAGGTGTATTATTCCTAGTTCCCTAGGTATAAATAAATAATTGCTTTCCCACATCTTTTTTTATGATGGCATTTCATTATTTTTTACTGCCACATTGTTATGGTTCTGAGTCTTCTGGAGCAGATTTGGAGATCGGCCGGCGTGGGAGCGTGCACGCCTGCGCGTACGCAGGTTGGCACACATGGGACGTGGGGTGATGGACAAAAGGAGCAGGGTCTCCCCCATGGTTCAAGCCCTGACAGCAACATCCAGGTGAATACAGATAGTAAAGCTGTGAAAAATTATGGTTACAGGGTGATGTGCATCACAGCACTCCAAAGGGAAGAGCTGTAAGGAGCAGGTCACCCCAGTCAGCTTTGCTGAGACCAGGATTGCCCTGAGACAGAAGTTTCTGGGGGACACCAGCACAAGTATCACGTCGACCCATTTATCTTGGCATCAAGGACACGGAGCTGGGGTTTCCTTGAGATCCCAGCCGTCCATGACTCCCGTCTGCATGTACAGAGGTGAGAAAAGAAAAAAAAAAGCAAACCTGTGCTGTGCTCCACTTTTAATTTTCTGCTCATGATCTACCCATATGCTCGTCCTGGCATTGTTATGTGCAGGCTCCAGTATCGCTGTGGTTCAGAACAACGAGGGCAGAGCACATTTTCCTGAGCAATGTTTATATCAGCATTTTCAGGCTTGTTTGATCGCGTCTCGCACTTCTCAGGAGACCCAGCAGGGAGATAAGCGCTGGATGCATTTTCCTAGCAATGTCTCTTGCTTCAGAGGAGGCCACCAAAGACGTCTGGGGAAGCAATGATTCCCTGGTAATGCCTCGGTCCAAGCTCTGACCTGGAACCGTGGGCTCTGCAAATACACATAAATCTTCAGCTCACGTCCAAATCATTGCAAGGTTCAGTGAAAACAGCAAAACTGCCAGTGGATCTAACCGAAGCTTTAATCCAACTCCAGCGTGATTTATGGGCTCAGGTGGAAACCATGAAGCACGGTGGCTTCAGCCCCAACCAGGAGGATGGGTTGCTGCCCCAGCCCAAAGGTGCTGTGGTCGGGTGCTGAGGAATCAGGGCAGCAAGCAGCACAGATGAAATTAAACAGCACAAACACGTCCTAACAAAACCTTCCACCCCTGTGCATCACATGCTGAGCAAACGTAGCTGACACAAATCAGACCAGTGTCCTGCTCGAGGACACAGGAAATTAAACAAAATCAAAGAACACTAAGGGCAAGCAAGCAATAAAACTTTTTGTTTCTGATTTAAAAAATAGCAATCGAGTAGCTCCAAAATTAAAGGAATTCTGTGAAAATGCTATTTCAGGACATTTGTAATGGCTTTTTAATATTTATTCCCCTCTCAAAATGCCATCATGGATAGCATTTGACTGATATTTTTTTCTACCAAAAAAAAAAAAAAAAAGGAAAGAAAGGGAAAAAAAATCTCAATTTTCTAGAGAAGAACGGGTGCTGCATCACCTTGGGAAGTGTCACATCAACTTGGGAAGATCTTTCTGTTCCCTGCTGCCGAACTTGCCCCCAGCCAGGAGAAGGAATGGATATCTCCACAGAGCATTACAAAGGCCATTTCCTCTCCTCTCTCTGGCCCTCGTTATCTATCTGCTTATTAGCTCAGAAAAATGAACCACAACAGCAATTAGCACAAGATCCCAGGTGACGTGACCAAGACTTCTGACCAGTCTCCGTATCAGCACCATATATCACTGATAACCTCCAAGTAATCCCATCCCACAGCACGTGGAGTCCCTTTAATGGCTCAGTGGGGATGTGGCTGGGTGTAGGGGGGGATTCCTGCACCGGTACCACGCAGTTGGTGTTGATGCAGGCCTGAAGCTGTAACATCTGCAGCCCCTGGTGCCAAATTCATCTTTTTCCCAATACTCAGCATCCCCCTCCCATGCATGGAAATGGCCAAAGGGAAACAGTGCATCAGAATTTTTGACCAGCCCGGTAATCCCGGGCAGGACGTTATAGCAACACCTGCGAGGTGCTGTGGCTTTTCCAGCTGCGCCCCCTGTTATTGTGGCACGGGGCTTCCAGCGTCCCCGCGGGGCACCCGCAGACGGCCGTGAGCTAATAACCGCAGCACAGACGGTTTACAACACCCCGTGGGATTTTAGGGTGGCAAAAGGATGAGAAACGGGTCACCTGGCATGGGGCTGGGGACCGGGGAAGCCAGGAGGGAGATGCTCGGGAAAATATCTGATGCTGAATGAGTTCGGTTGGCTGCAGCACATCTGTCCTCGTCGGGTCTCACTATTTCTTGAGGGGGATGCTGGCAAAACCAGAACCCACAGGGCTCCTTCTGTCCCTCTCTTCCAACACAAAACCAGAGAGTTTCCCAGCTCTTATCGGAAAAAGTCAGCTTGCACTGAAAGGGTTTCTGCAGGACCTATGTTGTAAATGAAATGAGATTAGTAAAAAGGTGGTTTTTTTTTCTTTTTTTTTCTTTTTTTTTTTTAAATCCTGTGACAAGGAGTCAGGAGCCTGTCTGCCATGGAATATTCCTGCAGTACCCGGGGCTGTGGTTTGTTTTACTAGTGGTGACTAGTTCAAGCCACATTTAGTCAATAAATATGAGATATGAGGTCACCCCGCCATTTAGCTGTTCCCCTGTCTACATATTTCACAGCTGGGTAGTAACCTTTTAACTAGCGTCTACCTCGGTGGGGAGTCTCCATAAAAAAAGAGCCAGGATCCCTTGGTCGTGGTGGGGGACCAAGGCGCAGGAGCACCACGGGGATTTCTGAGCAGGAGGGACCACGCTGAGCCTCGCCTGCTGCTGCTGGTCCGCAGCCAGGCGGTGCCCAGCTCCATGAGATGGAGCCACATGTCCCAAAATTTATCTCCATCTCCCCCTTTTTCCACGTGGAAATGGGCCGCAGGACAAATTCCGTCTAATTTCCCCAAATTTCCAAAGGGTCAGTTGATCCTCTTAACCACGTCTGATAGGATTTAACAAGAAAATCAACTTCTTCAAATGTTAATTCACCTCTACCCAAGTCCATAGCTTCTCCTCCGTGCCTTAGCCTTGCCCTGGGACGAGGAGGACACCTCCTTGGCTTTTCAGCTCATAATTCAGGCTATGACTGGTCAAGATGAAGTATTCCCGAGCCCATCAGCCAAGCTTCCCACCAGCACAAGGTGCAACGAGAGCAAACTTTCCATGATGGTGCCAAGTAAAACCAGGAAAAGATGCACCCCCAGCTCTGCCCTGACCCGATTTGAGACCCCCAGGGTTTCAAGTAAATGGATCAGCTGCTGCTGTCCCTGCAGTCCTCCTCCGTGCCCACCCTGCCTCATCTCCAGCACGGCCCCACAAGGGGCTCGGCATCAGCAGTCCACAAGAAAGCAGCAAGCGTGAGGAGGGAGCTGAGCCAAGGCGCCTGGCCCACCTCCAGAAAGGTATTTAGGTACCTAACAGAAATGAGATGCTTGAGTGGATATGGCGAGAAGCGGGCAGGGAAGAGAAAGCAAACCCGCGAGCGAGAGAGGCCGTGGTGAGGGAGGGAAGCCGTGGAGCAGCCCACGGAGCTCTGCTGCTTTCCACCAGCCACCAACGTCACGCTGGAGTACGTGCGCTGGAGGCGAACGGAGCCGCGGGGACCTCGGCTGGCCCCGAGCTCCTGCTGGCCTCATCCTTCCCTGCAAAGCGCCGTACCTGCGGCACGGCTGCCAACAGCGAGCCCGGGGAAGGGGGGAGAAGCTCTTGCCCGTGGAGCAAGGTGCTGCGCTCCCTTCCAAGCATTGCACACAGTCTCCAAGAGGCCGGCCAGGAAAGCAGCGGCCTGGCGCTGGCAGGGTTGTGGTGATGGCTCGGGTGAGCGGCCGGCTCCTGCCCCCGGCACGCCGGGAATCCCAACCCGGCTCTGCCTCCCCGACGTCACGGCCCAGGCTCGGCACCAGCAGACGCGGCTCCGGCGCCGGGAGAAGAGGCCAGCTCCTCCCAGCTCAGCTGGAGCCTCCAAAATCGGAACCTCTGCTGTCAGCTGCCTTTTATAGGGCTATAAAACCACAAGTTCATGTACAGACGTTGGCCGGGATCAGCCTCGGCCACCTTCAGCATCGCTTCTCGACGTCTTGCATGTCCTCCATCTCCAGAGCCTCCTTCCCTCGTGCCCAGCCACCTGCAGCCCCAAAGACGGACAAGAGGACATGGAAAGAAGGACATGGAGCCATGCCAGCCCCCACCAAGT